ACAAATATGGACAAATAATGGATAATCTAATGCCATACAGATTTTGTCAAAATTTGTACTTAGGGGTGCCAACTTCACGCAGCTGTAACAGTACATAACGTTAAAAAAAAATTTTTTTTTGTAATTTTTTCCAAGAGTGGACAAAAAATTATTATTATTGGACAAATATGGACAAATAGTGGACAATCTAATGCCATATAAATTTTGTCAAAATTTGTATTGGGGGGTGCCAACTTCACGCAGCTAGTTTAGCCCACTCTACCTACCCACGAGTGCTTTACCATTGAGTATGGACATTTTGTATATAAATAATATAAACAAATCTAGGTTTTTTAAAATTTTATATCTATTTTTTTTCTGTATTTAGGCTTTGCCGTTTGCACTTCTAACAATAAAATATATTCTATGTCTTTTGCACTTACAAAAGATTGTCGCAAATCTGGGCACAGTTAAAGAAGTCATCAGCATATTGAATGCGTCCCTTGAAGACAATAGGAGGCAAAGTTTTTATGTCGGGCTCTCTTTCGGACTTTGGTTGCTCCAATTTCTCCTACAGAGAAATAAGAAATCAAGAATAAACAATTTTATCTTTTTTAGAGACATTGATTATTTATGAAACATTGATTATTAAAATAGAATATTAACATTAAATAAACAGTTTTCAGAGTCAAGAATATCTAGAACTTTTTCAAATAAAACAAAATTATCTGCGCATAATTATAATTATTATTATATTTTAAATTTTGTTAATAAGAAATTTTTGAAATTTTCCTTCTTGTTACACAAGTATTTATGCAAAGTCTAAAACATTTATCTAACTCTTTAAAGAAAAAAATTGCTGGTTCTACACAGAAAGAAATCTCCAATACAATCCAGACTGTTGCAAACTGATGCATTTTAATTCGAGTTTTAGTTTGAAAGTGGAAAGTGCTCCATTTTCACTTCATGAAAAATACTTTTCTTAAATAAAATATATAATATTCATTCTAATTGCGAGAAACATGTACACATTAAAATATCTGCATTTCCTTAAGTTTCATATCAGTATAAGAAAAATTTCATGGCAGAAAAATATAAGACAATGAACGTGTGTTTCATTTGTTTTTATTCATGGATACGATTAATCCCATTCAATCGTTCAGCAAGCAGATTAGCAACTTGGTTCAGCTTCTGGTGTTCCACAGAACGAGCAGCAATTTGTAAGAATCTTTATGATTGGTTTATATTATTTAGATTCAGAAAAGGACAAAAACTAATCATATTAAAAAATCTTAAAATAATTGAAAAGCTGCTTTTTCTACTGAGTGCAGCCAGAGTGGCTAAAGAAATGCATCACCAATGATCAGCTTCAACCTGCGGCCCAAATTTAATTGCCTATTTCTGTATGACTCACATAATAATATTTATTATATTTTAAACTTTAATATAGTAAATTTTTGGAAATTCAAAACTTTCTTATTATAAAAGTATGTATATGTATGTACATATTCTCTCTTGGTTCTTACAAAGTCTAAAATGTTTACCAATTGGCGTTTCAAAGAAAAAGTTTATTGACAACTATTCCAGACGGAAATCTCCAACACAAGTCAGACTGTTTTCTAATTTGATGTGCTCAATTAGAATACAAGTTTGAAAATGGAAAATGCTCCATTTCCAGTTTTATTTCGCGCCCGTGTGGCAACTCGTCGCCAATCACCACACCACCGTCAACCGGTTTTCAGTTGTACACACCTTCAAATGCTGCGGCAAGTTCCTTGGCGAGCGACGCAATCCCGTGGATCCAGCGGACACCTGCAATCGGAGATACGCGTACAGAATTACGAAACACGGTAAAGAATCAGAGGATGCGAGCCAACGTCGTGCGGCGCCGTAACTAACCTCCTTCTTAGCGAGGCTGGCGGCACGTGTCGTCATCACGATGGTGGAGAGAAAGCGCGGGGTAGCGGTCGATCTCGCGGGACGAATTCGCCGTACCGGAGAATCGGTTTCGGCGTCCAAAACTTGCTGCGGACGCGTGCACGTCCTGCCGTCAGGATTTTCACGGTGCCATGATGCCGGTCCGGTATCGCGAATTGTGCCGGTTTCCCGCCAATTTTCACCTGGCGGCTGGCGAACAGCTGACGCCCCGATACGTCGAGTCTGTCAAGCGAACGAAGTGCGAAAAGAATGTGAGACGCATGGGAAAGAGGGAGGGAGGAGGGGAGCAGAGAAAGAAAGAAGGGGAGAAAGACAAGGATACATACGCTGTAATATAGATATTTTTATAATCCAAAGTGAGACAATTTTATCTTAAGGCAAAGAAAAGAGGATGTAATCAAGAATGACATTCAATTTATTTATATATAGAGAACAATTATAACAATGACTCACGGCATACAAATATTTATAGCATTCGAATTTATTTGCTTCAATTTAAGGAATGTAAAGTTTTAAAAAATGCATAGAATTTCTTGGTAACTTGATTATATCAAGCTTAATTTTTGTTATCAATATTGCTTTTAAAATGTAAATTTAATGTCAGATTTTTTCCTTTTTTTCTGCTGTCCACACTTTATCATTGCATAGAAAACTCGTTCAATATGCACATTACATTTTCTAAAACCGATCGAAAATATCTATATAATTGTAAGCTTAAAGTTTCAAATTTAATTTACAGGACGGAACAGACTATCATCCATTCGAAATCCGTCCATATATATATTACGTTAGCATATTTTTGGCCATTTTTGATCCCTCCCCTCCCCCATGTAAGCAAATGTCAGAATTTATGAAATCCCCCCCCA